CTCTACAGCGCCGTGCCCGCTGGCACCGACCCCGCCGACGTCCTCGCCATGGACAGGGCCAGCTGGAGGTGAGGGGGCGCTGGGCTGGGGGTCCCAGGTGCCCCCCAGGCGGTGTCACAGCCCCATGTTCTCCATGCCGTGCAGGTCGCAGGGGGATGGTGCAGGGGACGGGGGTTTCCCGGGGAAGGAGAGCCTGGCTGAGTTCCTGGGCTGGCTGGACTTCCTGGATGAGCTGGTGATGGGCGCCCACCCGGTGAGAGCCACGGGATTCATTTTTGAATCTGGGAATTGATTTGTGCCTGATCCCCACCTTGTCACCAGCCCAGAGCGCCGAGTGCCACCGAGTGCCACCTCCAGGGATGGCGACTCCACCACTTCCCTGGGCAGCCCCATTCCAACATCCAATCACCCTTTCTGTGCAGAAATTCTTCCCAATTCCACCTAAACCCCCCGGGGTGCAATTTAAGGCTGTGTCCTCTTCTCCTGGGGGGGTCCCCACTCTCAGCCCCTCCCTCCCCCCAGCTCGTGGCCGATGCCATCAGCGAGGCCGTGGAGGAGAAGTTTTTCCAGGGAATCCTGCAGCCGCAGCTCCTGCAGATGTGAGTGACCCCGGCTGGGGCGTTCTGCTCCTCAGGACCCCCTCAGAGCCAGGAGCAGGGGGTGTTCCCCTTTTCCCTGGACAACCACGCCCTCCCCCCCGGCAGGTCGGAGGTGGCCGTGCTGGGCGCCACGGCCGTGCTGACGGGGACGGTGCGGCAGCTCCGCGCGCCCGCGCTGCTCCACCGCCTCGTCCTCTTCCTGCTGGGGCCCCACCGGCACCCCGAGACCCCCGGGGACGCCCCCCACCCCCTGCGGGCACAGCTCATCGACCGCTGCGACCACCTGTGCGACGAGGTGAGCTCACCTGGGCGGGCTGGGCGGGCAGGGTGGCGGTGCTGGGGGTCTCACCCTGCTGGCCATGCCCAGGGTCTCACCCTGCTGGCAGTGCCGGGGGTCTCACCCTGCTGGCAGTGCCCAGGGTCTCACCCTGCTGGCAGTGCCGGGGGTCTCACCCTGCTGGCCATGCCCAGGGTCTCACCCTGCTGGCAGTGCCAGGGATCTCACCCTGCTGACAGTGCCCAGGGTCTCACCCTGCTGGCAGTGCCGGGGGTCTCACCCTGCTGGCAGTGCCCAGGGTCTCACCCTGCCGGCCATGCCAGGGGTCTCACCCTGCTGGCAGTGCCCAGGGTCTCACCCTGCTGGCAGTGCCCAAGGTCTCACCCTGCCAGCCATGCTGGGGGTCTCACCCTGCTGGCCGTGCCCAGGGTTTCACCCTGCTGGCAGTGCCGGGGGTCTCACCCTGCTGGCAGTGCCAGGGGTCTCACCCTGCTGGCAGTGCCGGGGGTCTCACCCTGCTGGCAGTGCCAGGGGTCTCGCCCTGCCACCAGCCCAGAGCGCCGAGTGCCACCGAGTGCCACCTCCAGGGATGGCGACTCCACCACTTCCCTGGGCAGCCCCATTCCAACATCCAATCACCCTTTCTGTGCAGAAATTCTTCCCAATTCCACCTAAACCCCCCGGGGTGCAATTTAAGGCTGTGTCCTCTTCTCCTGGGGGGGTCCCCACTCTCAGCCCCTCCCTCCCCCCAGCTCGTGGCCGATGCCATCAGCGAGGCCGTGGAGGAGAAGTTTTTCCAGGGAATCCTGCAGCCGCAGCTCCTGCAGATGTGAGTGACCCCGGCTGGGGCGTTCTGCTCCTCAGGACCCCCTCAGAGCCAGGAGCAGGGGGTGTTCCCCTTTTCCCTGGACAACCACGCCCTCCCCCCCGGCAGGTCGGAGGTGGCCGTGCTGGGCGCCACGGCCGTGCTGACGGGGACGGTGCGGCAGCTCCGCGCGCCCGCGCTGCTCCACCGCCTCGTCCTCTTCCTGCTGGGGCCCCACCGGCACCCCGAGACCCCCGGGGACGCCCCCCACCCCCTGCGGGCGCAGCTCATCGACCGCTGCGACCACCTGTGCGACGAGGTGAGCTCACCTGGGCGGGCTGGGCCACCCTGCCGGCCATGCCAGGGGTCTCACCCTGCTGGCAGTGCCGGGGGTCTCAGCCTGCTGGCAGTGCCGGGGGTCTCACCCAGCTGGCAGTGCCCACAGTCTCACCCTGCTGGCCTTGGCCAGGGTCTCACCCTGCCATCTGTGCCCAAGGTCTCACCCTGCTGGCAGTGCCGGGGGTCTCAGCCTGCTGGCAGTGCCGGGGGTCTCACCCAGCTGGCAGTGCCCACAGTCTCACCCTGCTGGCCTTGGCCAGGGTCTCACCCTGCCAGCTGTGCCCAAGTCTCACCCTGCTGGCCTTGGCCAGGGTCTCACCCAGCTGGCAGTGCCCACAGTCTCACCCTGCTGGCCGTGCCCCGGGTCTCACCCTGCTGGCAGTGCTGGGGGTCTCACCCTGCTGGCAGTGCCAGGGGTCTCACCCTGCCGGCCATGCCCAGATCAGCCTGGCCAGCCTGCGGCTCTTCGAGGAGCTCCTGAGGAAGCCCCACGAGCACGTGGCTCACAACCTGGTGCTGCGGAACCTGGAGGCCAGGGCTTACCTGCAGCGCGGCCCCCACGGCCCCGAGGAGCGCGGGCCCCCCGAGACGGACCCCGAGGAGGACGGGCTGTGAGCGAGGGGGGCTGGGGCAGGGCGAGGGGGGCGGCCCCCACTGCCCACCCCCCTAACGCTGACCCCGCACAGGGACCTGGAGGAGGATCCCTATTTCACCGACGGATTCCCAGACAACTTTGGGGTGACAAAAAATCCTTCCCCGTCGGGGAAGGGGCAAGTGAGCGAGGTGGTCAGCAGGTAGGGCTTTGGAGGGGCTGGGCTGGCATGGGGGGCTGCATCCCCCTCCCTATCCTCTCCTCCCTCTCTTCCAGCTTCCTGTGCCTGGTCCCCGAGGAGGCCAAGACCTCGTCGTGCATGGAGGAGGGCGGCTACGACACCTACGTGCACGATGCCCTGGGCATGGTGGGTGCCTGGGGGGGGTCCCCAGCCTGCTGGTGGCTGTCCCCGCTCTGGCTCTCACCTGCTGTCACCCCCGGGCAGGTCCAGGCGTGCCGTGCCAGCGCAGCCCCGTGGGGGTGGCCCTCGTCCCCCCGGCCCCTGGACTGCTGTCACCCTGGAGTGGCTTTTTACGAGGGACACTTCCTCAAGGTGCTGTTTGACCGGATGAGCCGGATCCTGGATCAGGTACCAGGGGTACACCTGCCCTGTGCCCCCCCAGGACCCCCATCTTGGGGACAAAGTGGCCAAAAGCATCAGCAGTGCTCGGTGGGGATGGGCTCAGAACGAGGGGGTGTTTGGAGGGGTCACCCCCACGGCAGGTCCTGAGCATGCCCCCCATCCCAGCCCTACAGCCTGAACCTGCAGGTGACCTCGGTGCTGTCCCAGCTGGCCGCCTTCCCCCACCCCCACCTCCACGAGTACCTGCTGGACCCCTACCTCAACCTGGCCCCCGGCTGCCGCTCGCTCTTCTCCGTCCTCGTCAGGGTAATGTCACCCGCTGGGGTGTGGGGACACGGGGACACCCCCTGGCCGGGGGGTGACTCTTTCCTCCCTCCCCAGGTGATCGGGGAGCTGATGCAGCGGCTCCAGCGCGTGCCCCACTCCAGGGCCAAGCTGCTCCTGGTGCGCCGGCAGCTCCTGGGGCTGGTGCCAGGAGAGCAGTGAGTCCCCCAAAACGCCCTTTTGGGGAGGGGTTGTACCCCACAGACCCCCCCCCAACGGCTGGTGTCCCCGCAGGATGGATCACACGGTGCTGTTCAAGGGGGTGGTGGTGCTGGAGGAGTTCTGCAAGGAGCTGGCTGCCATCGCCCTGGTCAAGGGGCCACCCGAGGGGCCACCCTGAGCCCTTCCCTGAGCTCCCCCTCTTTGGCCAGGCTGTGGTGGCCACTGGGGATGGCCCAGCCCACGTTTTGGTGGCCCTGCAGTAGCCAGGAATGGCCGTGGCACCGCGGGAAGGACCTCGCAGGAGGACGAGGAGGCGCCGAGTCCTTCGTTGTCGCCTTGGCCAGCCCCGAGGTGTCACCACGTCCCCGTGCTGGGTGCGGAGCCGTGGCTGCTGTGGCTCCTCCTGGGTGGTGGTTCCTGCTCCCCCTGCGCTGTCGGAGCTGCCCCAAGCCCCCCAAGGCTCCAGCAGGGAATTTTTAGGCAATAATGAGGCAATAATGGGGTGTGTGGGACAGAGCACCCCCTCAGCTGCAAGGACTCGATTGTCCCCTGCCCTGGCTCTGTGACAGGGGGAGTGTGACATGTGTGACATGTCTCTGTGTGTGTGTGTGTGTGTGTGTGTGACACATGTATGTGCTCTGGTGGGGGACTGTCCCCCCAGACCCTGCAAAGCCCCTCCCCAGGGTGATGGGACTCTGCTCCAATAAAGCTGTGACTCAGCACCACCTCCTGTGCCCCTTCCCAATCATCCCTAAACCCATTTCCCCCAAACACCCCCAAACCCCACTCCCCATTTTCCCCCAGAACCTCACTCTCCATTTTTCCCAAAGAGCCCCAAACCCCATCCCCATTTTCCCCCAAACACCCCAAAATCCCACTCTGCATTTTCCCCCAAACACCTCAAAACCCCATTTCTCCCAAACCCACTCCCCATTTCCCCCAAACACCCCCAAAATCCCACTCTCCATTTCCCCCAGAACCTCACTCTCCATTTTTCCCAAAGAGCCCCAAACCCCATCCCCATTTTCCCCCAAACACCCCAAAATCCCACTCTGCATTTTCCCCCAAACACCTCAAAACCCCATTTCTCCCAAACCCACTCCCCATTTCCCCCAAACACCCCAAAATCCCACTCTCCATTTCCCCCCAAACACCTCAAAACCCCATTTCTCGCAAACCCACTCCCCATTTTCCCCCGAACACCCCAAAATCCCACTCTCCATTTCCCCCAAACACCTCAAAACCCCATTTCCCCCCGTACCCCACTCCCCACCACAGCCAGGACACAGAAGCAGCAGCAGCAGCCGGGTTTATTTCATTTCTGCTCTCGGCACCCCCAGAGCAGCACCCAGCCCCGCAGCACCCCCATCCCCGGCCAGCACATCCCGAGGCTCCCCCTTCGCCCCTCCCAGCCCCCCCATTCCCAAACCCAGGTTTCCCGTGCCCTAGCTCCGGACGGGCACGGTGGCACGGAGCCTCCGCAGGACGCGGCCCCGCAGCCCCTCGTCCCGCACGGGCCACCAGCGCAGCGCGGGGTCGCGGGGCTCGGGGGGCTGCTCCCGCCGGCTGTCCGGGGGGACGCTCAGCAGCACGTTGAAGCAGATGCCATCGGTGTCCCCAGAGCCCCCAGGGCTGTGCTGCAGCCCCAGCAGCCCCAGAGCCGCGGGCTGCGGCTCCCAGGCCAGGCGCTCCCGCAGCAGCCGCAGCAGCGGCGGGCGCAGCCCCGCACGCAGCTCGGAGGGGGACGTGCCGCAGGCCACCACGGGCAGGTGCGGGGTGCCGGCGGTGGCCAGCAGCAGCCACAGCTCGCCCGCGGCGTTGGAGAAGGGCAGCAGGAGCCGCAGGCAGAGCGGGGAGCAGGGCAGCTCCCGCGGCAGCGTCGGGGGGTGCGGGGGGCTGCGGCGGTAGCGGGCGGCCAGCTCCAGCACGGGCAGGATGTCCGGAGAGCGCAGCGGCAGCGAGCGGGGGTCCCCGGGCCACCAGGTGGCTTGGAGGGACTCGGAGTCTGCCTCCTCCAGGGTCTTCAGGGTCCCACCTGCGCGAACAGGGGTGGCACGGAGTGGGGGACAGCGGGACAGAGGGGAAGGCTGGGGGGGGGGACACTGGTGGGGCATGAGAGGGGACACTGGTGGGGCACTGAGAGCCCCGTGATGGGCAGAGAGGGGACACTGGTGGGGCATTGAGACCCCCGTGATGGGCAGAGAGGGGACACTGGTGGGGCATTGAGAGCCCTGTGATGGGCGGAGAGGGGACACTGGTGGCCCTGCATGGGTGTTGGGGGTGGTGGCAGGGGACAGCGATGGCCTGGCACAAAGGTGCTGAAATGCATCATGGGGTTTGCAGGGGACACCAGAGAGCTGGCACAAAGATGGCAGGGGACACTGATGCCACAGGGCGGGGTGGGGACACTGATACCCACCATGGGGCTGGCAGGGGACACTGCTACCCACCACGGGGCCAGCTGGGGACGCCCCCCCCAAGCCCCCCGCGCCCCTCGGGGCACCACAAACCTGTGGCCCGTGCCAGGAAGGCGAAGCGGATCCAGGCCGGGCCCCTCTCCTCCAGCGCCAGCAGCGTCAGGGGCTCGCAGTCCAGCCCCGACTCCTCCCGCACCTCCCTCCGCAGCGCCGCCACGATGCCCTCGCCCGGCTCCATGCGGCCCGCGGGGAGGTACCAGCGGCCCCGGCACTCGGGCTTGGCCTCCTGCACCAGCAGCAGCGCGTCCTGCGGGGGATGGGGGGAATGGCCACTGGGGGGCGGTTCTGGCTGCACTGGGGGCACTGGGGTGATGTTCTGGCTGCACTGGGGGATGTTCTGGCTGCACTGGGGAGGATGGCCTGGCTGCACTGGGGAGGAGGTTCTGGCTACACTGGGGGCACTGGGAGCGGGGGCTGCCTCACCTCCTGGTTGAAGAGCACGGCCAGCACCACGTAGCAAACGTTCCTGCCCAGGCGGACCCCGGGGGGCGCGGGGGACCCCTCGAAAGCCGCCCCCACATCCCAGGCGCCTCCGTCCAGCACCGCCTCCAGCTCGGGCAGCGGCGCGTCCCCCATGGGGGCGGGGGTCCCGCGGCAGCTGGGGGCGGCAGCGGGGCCAGCTCAGGGCGTGGCGGGGTTCTGGGGCGGCGAGGGGACCCCCCAGACGTGCAGGCGAGGGGACAAAGAGCCGCGGCGCCGGGGGGGCTGCAGGGGGTGGTGAGGGAGGGCGT